TGCTCAGTTTCATGCTCATTGCTTCAGTGATGCTATCTAACCATCTCATCCTCTGCCATCTATTTAGATGATAGAGATAAATAGATAGATGATAGATACAGATACAGACATAGAAAGATATAGATATAGATAGATAGTGATCATAACACTGCATTATAAATGTTCTATATTATGTACCAGTGTGATAAGGCAGTCATAATTCACTAGAGGATCACAGTTTCTAATGGGTCACAAAGTACATTGCTCAGATTCTTGCAAAGAAAGTAGAGTAGGTAAGACTTGATCCTATCCAGCAAAAGACATATTCTTAAATCATTAAAAAGTATTTAGAATTATTAAACCCAGATCATTAAACCTGAGCATGTAGACATTACTTATGCCAGAACTGTTATAGGATACATTCCAACTTTCAAAATGCATTTGCAGAGCACATGATTTCTAAGAAGGAAACCACATTAAGACTGAACTCAGGGTTGTTTGTTTGTGCCTTTGAGCCAGTCTTGACTCCTGGCAACTGCCTGGACAAATCCCTGCGGTTTTCTTGGCCAGGTTCTTTGGAAGTGGTTTGCCCTTGCCTCCTTTCTAGGGCTGAGTGAGAGTGACTGGCCCAAGGTCACCCAGCTGGCATTGTGCCAAAGGTGGGACTAGAACTCAAGGTCTCCCGTTTTCTAACCTGATGCCTTAACCACCACACCAAACTAGTTATTCAATTCAGTTTAGCCCTGCATTAAAAGATGTTAATTATATCCAGATATAATTACACAGAATTGTAGAATTGCTTTTCTACTGTGTAATTTTGAGCAGCAGAATCACACTGGGCAGGCAGAAACAACTGGAGACAGGCAGTCCTTTGGATAACCAGATCTTATGTCATGAAGGGCTTAATAGGTGATGACCAGCACTTTAAATTGCGCCCAGAAGCTGACTGGCAGCCACTGCAGCTCTTATACCAGTGATGACACATGGGACAAAAGAAGACATGCTTCTTACTACTTGTGCTGCTGCATTTTAAACCAGGTGATCTTCAAGGGCAGCCCTATGTAGAGCGCATGGCAATAGAGCAATCATGAAGTGACCAGGCTGTGCTCATGGATCACGTTTGCCAGACTGAAACAGTGAGTAAATCCTCCCACTCCAGGAGGAGTCACAATTGGAGCACTAGATGAAACTATGCAGATGCTCTCTTGGCCACAACTATGACTTGCTCTTCAAGCAGCAGCAGCTGTGAATCCAAGAGGACTCTCAAACTGTGAGCCAGTTCTACTTGGGAAAGTGACCCCCTTTAATACAAGCCACAGCCCTTGCTGACCATGAGAAAGTTAAGCAATGTTGGGCTGGATGGGAGTCTCCATTATCAAGAAAAAAACATGGATGTGCCGATGCGTTATCAGGAGTTAAGGCAGAATACAATGTACCCAAGCTAGTCTTTGTCAATTTATTCTTTACTTATATAGCTTATTATTATTTATAATTATATAGTTAGCTCTTTTAATATAGCTTATTATTACTTATTATGTTTGCAGTAAGATAAAATGTAAGCAACCAAGCCTGGACTGATGTTAGAGCAAACACAGTGCATCTAGGTTCATTCCCTTTCAAGTCAATTCACCTCAACATCTTAGCTTAGATCATCCTGGCAAAAAGTGGATTTGAGGTCCCAGGTACTCCAAAGAACCTCTCCGTCTGAGACTTCAGTGATCCAGACCTAACAGGCCTTGGGAGTAGAGTTTGACTTCAGGGAGACTCTAGCTTTTGCTTTGAAATAGCAAAGGCGATCTGACAAGGGAACACCATCAACCAACACTTTGGATTAAAAAAAATAGATTATTAAAAGAATATTTGAATGATTTCTCCCTAAAGCCTATTAACTGTTGTTTGAACTTCACCCAGAGGATTCCTGTGCCACTGAAAGTGCAGAACTATGCGCAGAAATTCAACGAGTGTATCTTGCATTGGGAAGCGCTGTACCAGTTGAACGTCTGCCTCACTGCTGCCTCAGGTGACTGGCCTAAGAGAAAGCGCTAGAAGCGCTGAGGACATTTCTTCCCCAACTTCGCAAGCGCGCGACAGAGACAGCTTCCCGCCCTTCTCCGGCCTTTCTCGCCCTGGCAAGGAAGGGCCCAAAGGGCGCTCATTCCGGCGGCGGGTGGCGCCTGCGCGGCCCCAACCCCGAGTGACGCGAGCAGTCTGGACGGAGCTCCTCGCCCGGCCATGGGCGCCCGCTCGCCTGCGTCCTACCCTGCCTACCTTCTGAGCGGCTTTCTCTTGGCGGCCGCGTTGCCTCCCCAAGGAGCTGACGGTAAGGCGGGGCGGGGCGGCGCCAGGGCGCTGCTTTGGGAGTCCCCCCGAGGCCCGTCTCCAGCTGCCGCCTTTGGAAATATGCGCCTTCCCCCGCCCCGTCATCTGGCGGGGGGTGCGCTGCCTTTGCCCACCGCGCGCACGAGACAGAAAGTTGTGCAGGAGCGAGATTTTGAACGCGCTTCGTGCGCTGCCTTTCCCCCTAATCTATCAGAGGGTAGGCTTGGGGGGGGGGGGGCATTCCTCTGTGCCATGCTGGGCTTTTGTTTTTGCTTAGCGCCGCCCATCATAGGGCAGTCTGAAAACGCCCCGGCTGTGAGCAGGCTCACATGTCCGTTCGCCAACTGGGTGGACTGCTTCGAGGCGTTTTTCCATTTTTTTTTAGAAACCTACTTAAATGTCCAACAACGCCTGTCTGTGGGGTAGGAGAAAGAGAGTGGGGAAAACGTATCTGATTGATCTGTCCAGGCTAGAGTGAAAGTAAGGATTTGCGGAGATGAACCAATACATGCTTCCTCGTGTTTTCATGCATCACCACCACCAGAATCTAATTCAGTAAAATGACAGGCAAATCAATTTCCTGTTCCATCCATAAGATGAGAAAATTGCATTTAGCTGGGAGGTGGTTTTGTTTGAAATCCATTTGGCTGATGTACAGTAATTGAGCAACATAAGCACGCAAGCAAAGCTTTCAAACAGAGGCCCTAAAATAAGAACTGTTTTATACAGCCAAGTCTGCAATCAATCAATCAAATAAATAAATAAACAAAACATTAAGGTAAAGCCTCTCTCAAGTTGAGCTTGTCTCCTGGTGAGTTCATGGGCCCATCCCTGGGTAACAATATAGAATATTGCCTTCTTCTGGGAAGTGTTTTCAACTTCCTGGACTAGCCTGCAGCGCTGTGATTTCCTAGTGGTCTCCCATCTAAGTACTACCTAAACCCAGCCATACTAAGCTTTCTTCCAGGTCAGCCAAGGTTGGCAAGATGCTGCCACCTGTTGTGACTGGAGTAAAACCTGCTAATTGATTAGCCAGCTTCAGAATTAGAGGATGACATGGATTATGCGGAAGTGAATGATTTAGGAAAATTGGTCAACGTTTGAAAGAAAAAAAATAATAAAATGGGAGATTTATTAGGGGAGGAGGTTTTTGGATTGGTTTTTTTTATTTTTTTTTTGGCCATAGGTGAAGACACAGGCACTATCTTGGGGGGAGATGGGCGGGGACAAGCTAAATAAATAAATAAATAAATAAATAAAATCTTCATTGAACCTCCACTGGACCCGTGTTACCCCCAAGACAACTTCAGCAGCACTAAGAGGGGGAGACGTTGCTTTCATCAGGAACAATGTACTATACTGAAGTTCAGCAACTGGTTTAGGCCAATCCAATATGGCAACTGTTTCAGATTTGAACAGCCAGGTGAATCTGAGCCTTCAGAGAGCTGAACATAGGGTAAAACGGCTTCCTGTGCACACTCCCTAGGGGTGGCTTTTGTCTGACAGAAATTAAAAATATGGTTGGCAAACAGAGAAAACCCCTTTAAAAGAAATGGGTTCACACGCTGAGGTAAGCAAAAGCCAAACCAACCACATATTATGGCTTAGAGCAGTGTTTCCCAACCTCAGCAACTTTAAGCAGGCTGGCTGAGGAATTCTGGGAGTTCTGAGAGTCCACGCATCTTAAGGTTCCTGAGGATGAGAAACACTAGCTTTAGAAGAGATGTTGGCCGACTTGAATAGCATCCAGAGGTGATGCTACTAAATCCTCAGATGCAGTCAGTGGTCACAGCATCTCTTGCCCTTTCATCCATGGAATTGGGCAGGATTCCAGATGTGTGGGAGGGCATCCAGGACAGAAGGCAGACCAGTGCTTGAGGAACACAGATGGGAAAAGCCATGGCTGCCGGCCTCCACTTTCCACAGGGAATTTAAAGGTGTCACATTAATATCTGGGGAGTAACAGCAGACTAGCAACCCCCTCTGTAAATAGAATATTGCTTATTTACTGCTATAACCTTTCTATCTACATGTATGTATATAACCTTATTACTAGGGAAATAATAGAACTGTGATTTTTTTTACATCCATTCCCACTTAAAAAAAAATAAATCTGTGCCAACCCAAAAACCTGTGGAAAAACTGCTAGGTTGTGGCAAGAGAAAGAGAGAGGTGACACTGCAAGTCAAAATTTCATTCTATAAATTTTCCTCTCCTGGATAGATAAATGTTTTTTCCCCTCCACCTCCAGGATTATTATCTGATATAATTATTAGAAATTACTCTTGCTGAGTAGTGTTTTGAGATTTGCTTAAATCTCTATAAAATACATCAGATGAGTCTGTTGTAAGTCAGATGCTGTTAGAACATTTTGAATATATTTCAAGGTTGATCTGAGGTATGGAACAGCCCTTCAGACCAATGGCTAATTGGCATATATAAGTGTCTGCCACCATTATTGTCTTCACTCTACCCACAGAATTGACCTCAGAAAAGAATTGTGGGGTTTTGGGGGGGGGGTAAGCCATCCCCAAAATATATTTCTCTTTGAGGTCTATTATATCTCTCATGGTTTCCTGCTTCATAATAGACTTTGTGGATGTGCACATGTGCCTTCAAGTCAGTTTTTGACTCCTGGCGACTGCCCAGAGTCGTCACTGGAATTTTCTTGGCAAGTTCTCCGGAAGTGATTTGCCATTGCCTCCTTCTCAGGAAGAGTGACTGGCCCAAGGTCACCCAGCTGGCTTCGTACCCAAGGCAGGACTAGAACTTGTGGTCTCCCAGTTTCTAGCTTGGTGCCTTAACTACTACACCAAACTAGCTCTTAGGCATTTTTTAAACAATTCCAAGGCTAATGCCAGTATCCTATTCCAGGGTTTTTCAAATTGTTCTTTGGAACCCCTGGTTCCACAAGAACTTGATGTGGCTCCATGAGGGACTCAAGGCTAAATCAAAGTTCACTCAAATGCAGCCAGGGACATCCACAGCAGAAAGGGAAAAAATGATGGCTGTGATTTTGACATAGGAGGTCCCTTTGGCTGCATGGCATTCTCCTACAAAAAATCCACCACAACCATTTTGTGTGTGCCTGTCCTGCCTTCTGCAAAATCATCCTGCCCCAGCCCTGCCTCCCTCCCCAGTCCCTGAGCAAGGTCAACCAGAAGATTCTGGGTGGACAAGACAGGAGCTTCCTGATGGGCAGTGGTTCCTAAGTGGCCCTTTTGGTATGGATAAGTAGCAATCAGTTGACCCAGGTTTCCTTTTACTACCAATTTTCTATCACTAGAACTTTGCCTCTTGAACAGGGGTTCCGGGATTTTTTTTTAACTAACCGGTCCCATGACCTTAAGCAAATGATGATCAGAGCCACCTTTTACATTACATCTGAGTCTTCTGGCCTGGCAGAACATGCAGCAAAATTCCCATCCATTTAGATACCCTGGATTGTCAGAGTTCCTATTCACACGGAACATCTCTGTAATGCAGTTATATGCACACCGATGCAAATTTCACACTGAAGGAAAGATCACTGGGAGAATGGCCAAGCCCGTGAAGAGGTTCTGTTAGGGTGTAGTCTGCATATGAATGTATATTACACATGCAACTTAATTATGTGTGAGGAACTTTACAGATTTTAACTGGCTTCTGACATCACATTAAACCAAAACTAGGCCTAATGATATTGCCAAGTGCACCTGGAAATACAAAACGCTGTGTGTTGGGCTTCATTGTTGGGGACATGTAATTTCTGGCAATAAGGAAGTGGTGTGCCACTGCCTGCTTTTGGAGTGCTTTTACAATTTCCCAGGCCAACCAGGACCTGGGTTTCTCAACAGTTTCCCATCCAAGTGCTAATCCGGTCTGGCCCTGCTTAACTCTTCAAGATCAGCTAAGGTCCACTAGGTGCTCCTGGAGATAGATACATCTTAATGCTCGATATATAAACAAGCTCAAGATAAAGTTTTTCCAATGGAATAACAAGATTAATTTGCATGAAAACACAGAATAGCAATCATAGGTAAAATTGATTTGGAAACCATAATCAAAATGAACATGAAAAATATGATCTGTGAGTGCAGGTACAGTATGGTATGGAAAAGATTAAGTGCAGGGAAGAGAGGCAGCAATGTGAAACTTAATTTGAGGGGATGAGTTAGGCAAGAAGGAAGACCAAGAAACCAAAGGGCATGTTTCAGAATGCAAAGAGATGCATATGGAGGGAATGCTGAAGAATTCTCAGGGAAATAATATCATATCAAGAAGAGAAATAGAGGGGAGGAAACTTCTGTTAGCAGTTCAGCCAAGAATTTCAGATCTAATGAGCTTCTTAGGTCAGGGATGAAGAACCTCGACTTTTCAGACTCCAATCACTGTGGTCAATGGCCAGGGATGATGGAAATGGTAGTCTTCCAACCATACAGAAAGCAGAGGATTGCTTCTTAGGCCTTCAGTGCTATCTTTATTAGGGAACAAGAAATGCAGTTAAACGTGGGACAAAACAGTATACATGCACACACATACATCAAAATAGCTGCAGTGAATGTTAAAAACTACAATGTGTACCTTGTCCAAAGGGAAGAGTCTCATGAATAGACAGTTATGGTTAGATTGTTCTTTAGATTTGAAGCTAAAAAGTAAAGGCTGCTTTAGGTTTGGGCTGCTGGGCCTGGGAAAGGAAGCTTCACCCTTTTTGGCAATCAAACTCTTCCCTTTCTCTAGCTGCTATTTGTTCCACTAAAGAAACAAGTGCCTGAAGGTCACACTTAACCCTTCATCTCAAAAAATGGGCAGCAGCCTAATTTTTAATACTGTAGTTAATCTCACTTATTTCAAACCTGATTGGGTTGTGCCCAACTTGTATTGAATGCTATATAAATATTTGGAGCAACTCATTTCATTTGTATGTTGTGAAGCTGGGGCTGACAACAGAAACAGATGGTCTCACATTCTCTTCCTTGTATAGCCTGCCCTTCCATTGCTTGGATTTCATTCCAAAAGAGCTGCTATGCTTTACTTCAGGGATCCTCTGAGGTCTACAGTATGGATGATGCCAGGGAGCTCTGCCAAGGCAATGGTAAGACAACTCTGCTCTTTTCAACCTCATCCCAATCTTGTGTGATGTGCTGACATCAATCCGCTGAGGCTGCACGAGCAGGAAGAGGGAGCCCTTTCAATACCTGAATGTTTGTTTGCCATTTTGAAGACTGTTAATACTCATAGTAGTTAATAGATCATGCACATTACTTGCTCAGGATAGATGCACTGAACAGGTGGGAAAGTTGGGCTTCCATGGTTGATCCCATTCATTCCATTGCTGGGCCATTGCAGGGTTTTCCAAGTACATTGATTCTAGCATGCTCTTTCTTGTACTCTCAAACATTTCTAATGTTGGAGACAGACCTGCTATGTTATTGATTCCTACCCTGGTATTTTCCAGACTGTTTACTTTAAGGAAAAAGCTTTCTGCCATGCAGCACAAGTGTGTATGCACATGCACCTTTAAGTATTGCAGAGAGTGTTCAGGTGTATTTGGAAGCCAGGAATTGGCTTTGATCAGGTCAGTAACTGTACAATAAAAGAACTGAACTTGCCTACTCAGTTTATGTGCACCTTTTCATTTGGCCAGGATGATCAAGGCTAACAACATACCTAATGAACTGGAGTATCTACTCCCATTCACATGAACTGACACCCAACTGTAGATTGCAGGGAAAAACAGGCATATTTAAGGACCATCAAGAGACCAGAACATGGAATGAAAGCTACTTAGTCCAATTTTACCAAAATCAATGACAGAATTTATTACTTATTTACAAAGCATTTTCAAGTTTAATTCATACAATATCCAGAAGTGTGTGTTCATTCTTGTGGAATATATTTGTAATTGAATTAGGTTAGAGTCAGCTCTAGATTACTGTGCATGCATTTCCCACTTCGATTAGTAGATCCAAAATTTTTATAATTGGCTGTTGTGTTATACTTCTGTTATCCACCTATCGGTTGGTTGGCTGCCTGTTGGTTCACTGATCTGTTGTATTTCTATTCTGCCTCTTTTCAAGGCAGCAGCATATCTGAGTATCTGATTTAATCCCTACACCAACAGTATAGGATAGGTTGAGCTAAGAGAAGGACTGGCACAGAATGAGTTGAAGGCACAAGTTATACTTGCATTGGGGTTGTTTTAATCACAGGTTGGGTACTGAAAATAATGTTGTTTTTATTTCCCCAATATAGCCTCTGGAGCTGATATTATTAGTATAAATAGCAAAGATGAAAATACCTTCATTCAAAGTAGTTTTTGCTCAAATTGGCATGGTCCAGAATATATATCTCTTGGCATGTTTTTTGACACTGATGGTAAGTGAACAAATTCCTGTTAGAAATCTGCTCCGCCTTTTCTTGATTTTTGTACTACATCTTCATTAGGAACTATCCTTCCTCTCCTAAGATAACGTTTCTACATGCAACTTCTTCAAGAACTCACTCTTGCTCTGGGTTTAGAAATGGGCCCTATGGAATCCAGAGAGTTGTGAATGCAAAGCCTACAGAAACAACACTAGGTGTGCAGAATGAATACAGGGGCTGAGGGATAGCCTTTTCCATTGGATGGACTGCAAGGAAAGTGAAATAGGATGACAGGCTTGTACCAGGGGGAATCAAATTTTTATCTGCTATTGCCCAAGGTACAAGTAAAGGGTTGTCCCTGGCTATCATTGTACCAGGGGTAATGTAGTTGAGGGGGTGGGCTCTAATTTGCAAAAATGTTTGATGCAATCAACCTGTTACAATATAATTTTAAGCATATTCAGTACTAGAAAAACTTTGCTTAGCTCCCTGAGGCTTTCTGCTGTTTCTCTTTAAGCAACAACTTAAACTAAATTGAACAAATAAAACTAAAATTAAAACTATTTGTTCACAAGTCACCACGTCAATGTGGGTTTTTACTCTGACTCACATTTATGAAACAAAATAATTTTACATCTATTGTATTGCAGATGATATTTTCAAATGGTATGATGATTCCAAAGTAAATTTTACAAACTGGATAGAGGAAGAAAGTCACAATGAACTCCTAAACACTTGTGCTACTATGCATACAGCTTCAGGTGGATGGGAAAAAGTCTCCTGTGAACACCTTCCATTGACTAAGATCCTGTGTGAAACTACTGGTATGTAAGAGCCATACTATAACATTGCCTTAAAAAAAATACTATTGAAGATTTCTATTGCAGTCCAGGAATGGCTAGATTTTACAGGCTGTGGAAGGGCTTTCAGGTAGATCAACTTCTGCTGCTATTTAGGTCGTCTTCCAAACATCCTGGAGCCCTTCATTCATCAATCCCGTCACCACAGTCATTAAACTTAATTCTGGTGTCATTTTATTCCCATACTAGTCATATATGCAGTATAATTATGATAACATAATTAATTAGAAGATACAAATGTATTCTTCAAGGGAAATTGGAAACCGTATCTTGCAATTTGGCTTTTCATATAGCAGAATGCACAAAGTAGATGCAAAACAAAATACCTATATCCTTTCCTGTCAAGAAGCTTGGTCACTGTTCTGGTAGGGTTATCAACAAATGATTTCCACATTACCAGCTTTAGGAAACATTCTTTTGATTATTCCTACAGCAAGCATATCAGAACTAACACTGCTTTTAAGAAAGCAGTTTCAGAAGATTAATTCAGACATTGGTTTGGGTTATTTCCTGATTCCAGCACTGAAATCAAATAAACTTCAAGCCTAATTCATGCTCTAAGTTTTCGAAAGTTTTAACTGGGTCAGTGTATAATGAAAATGGACTGTAACTTTCCTACCTGAATCAAAATTCTTATTGGTGCTGGTATGCATCCAGGTCGTATCCCACTTATCAGTGTAATCCTGTATGTGTTTTACTTTGTCTGGGCTGAATCATTCTCCAGGAAAGTGAGTGTGGAAGGGTTCTTGCTTGGGAGGTCTTTAGAGCACACTCTTCATTATTACGGTGTTCAGTCTATTATCAATATAAAATTCGTTACAATGAAAGCAAGAGGTTATCTGTTCTTATAGAAACTATGCAACAAACCATGTTTCATTCATTTCCTATTCACAAACACACTCTAGTCACATGGTGTAATATGTGGTTTACTATGCCACATATGAATGAAGATTGGAATCAAACTGCAATCAGTAGACCCATGTGGATGGACAACATCTGTATTTGAATACCCATCTGATTTACACCCACAATTTCCATTCCCAAGGAGATCCATGCACAGAAAATGCTTTCCCAAATGGATTCCCTTTTTTATATCAGCATATCTCTGAGTTTTAATATTCATTACTCTTGTTGTTTGGTCACTAAATTGTTTGTTGCTGACTATTAGATAGTAAAGGCAATTAATTATTTTCACTACTTCTCTGTGAGGTAAGATTGAATTGTAGATTCTTTAAAAATACATAAATCAAATTAATATGTTCTCATTTTTTTCTGCATATTGCTAAAGTTCTTTATGAAAAGACACATTTATTTGGTGAGTAATCCATTTTGTTTTCTTTATATTCTCTAGTAATGAAACACTGATAAGACAGTGTTTTCCTACTTCAGAGCAGTTTTCTTTTTCAGTGAACAACATTCACAATTATCATGGATTGGTTCCACATGTGGATGTAATTACAGCAGGTCCATCAAAAGCAATGTACTTTAGTCATGACTAATTTAACTCATCCCATTGATTTTAATAGATCTTTTCTGACTAAATATGGAACTACCATTGTGTATTCTATTTGGATATGCAAGAAGCTGCATTAAAGATCTCCATTCACTGTTAAATGTCACAGATTCCCGACATTTTTCATTGCCAATTAGCCTGGTACATAATGGAGAAAACTATTTGTATCATGGGAACAGGTCCACTGGAAGCTATATTGGCCAGGAGGACACACAAAATCAAAGTTCTACAAAGGCAATAACGTCGTTAAGTCAAACATTTTTCAGGCTTATTAAAATTCTTATTAGACTAATTTGTGAAACATTAGGGGGGGAAAGGGTAAAATTATATTTGTTGCATTCTAAAATAGCATAAAGCTGAGCCCAAGGAAGAAAGTTTGGGTGCCTCTGGAACAGCATGATGAAATGTGCTTGCAGCAGCAGATGTTGCTTGCCAGCAGTTTTGGGCTAGGATATGTAGGACAAAGTAATATAGAAATTAAAAAGTGATGAGGTAGCATCAACATGTTAAGGAAACCTTTCTAGATCTCACTGTTTATGATCTCAGGTAACTCCCCACATCCTAGAGAACTAGGAGTATGGTCCATTGAGCTGTACCTTAAAAGATTTAATGGATAAATCAAAGGCTGCAAGTAAGCCAGTTCAGGGAAATAGTCCAATAATATAAATGTTAAATAGCTGAAAAACATTTGCAATTGCAGAATAACAACATACATAATATGATTATGTATTTCTGTCGGAATCTCTGTATTGTTTCAGAAACTGCTTGGATAACCATCATAGTCATAATGTCAACAATAATTGTGTCAATGTCTGCAGCATTTCTCTGGTTTCTTTATCAAAGGAGGATATCATCTAGACCAAGATGTACTATACATAATTCCATCACTCAAGTTCCATGTGACAGTGAAACATTTCTTATAGATGAAGAAGATGAATATTCTGCTTAAATTGCTTTCATTTAGATACTATTACAGAAAGGGGCAATGGCACAAAGACAACCTTCAACACCACTAGCACAAATATAATCCAAATGAAGATGTTTATTTGTTAATTATTTTACTCATATAAAATCATTTTCTGTCTGAATGTGCATTTTTCAGGATGCTTAACTTCCCTTTGATAATACCCATAGTTTAGAAATCATTCTAATCTGGAAAGGCACATATGCCCAAAAATCCTTTGGAAGGAAGAAGCTCCTGCCTTCAGGGACACTGCTAAATTTATTCTGATGAGACAGTCCACATCAGATGAACTAGGACCAACACGTTTCACAGCACTCATTTGATTATGAAGTTCAGAATTCCAGTTGGGAACTAGAAGTCTCTACAAAAACTTAATTTAAAATGCAAGTTTGTAAAATATAGTGGTGCCTCGGGTCACGAACGCTTCTGTTCATGAACTTTTCGGTTCACGAACAGCTCTGGTCGCAAAATTTTGCCTCCGTTCGCGAACGCCGGATTGGGTTACAAACAGGATCCGCA